TTCAGCATCTCGTAGAGGACGTTTTCTTTCATATGTGCCACTTGTGCCAGGATCATTCAATCTAGGTTTTTTTGACTCCATTCTAAAATAAATGATAAATCAAAAAATCAAAAAGATACAGTAAATCATACCTTAGCGATTTTTTATAATGAAGTAAAAGGTGGCGTTGTATGCGACCGGGGCGTAATAACTCAGAATCCTGAAAACTACGAGCACCGACTCACTTAGCTATCGAAAGATTACTGGAAACGCGGAAGGTACTGAGGCGCGCAGAGACGAGAATCGAATGACGTCATTGCGGTGGGGGGTATTGCATTTGGCAGGTCGCGGGCGACGCCGCCTTGTGGTTCTAGGGTTAAGATCATTTACCACCAAATTAAGTCTATGGGAGCTGCAATGGAAATATGTCGCCAAAGGGTATTCATCTCTTATAAGCTTTTGTACACCGTTATCTTTTCCGGCCATCGCGGAACACCCATCAAACCCAAGACCGACAAGTTTCTCTAAATTTGCACCATGTCTTCTCATGAAATCTATTATAGTACTAGCTATCGTTTTCGCATCCATAGCAGTCAATTTTTCAAATCCGAGAAACTCTTCCCGAATATTGTTCTGTTTATCGACGAATCTTAGCCCTAGTGACAACTGCTCATGACCGAAAATATCTGCGGTCTCGTCAGCTAATAAAGAAAGAGCTTCAGAATCATTTGCTTCGGAAATTATTCTCTTTCGAATGATATCTCCACAAATTTCAATTAGATTATTTTGAGTTTGTACTGAGGTATAGGGGAAGTATGCCGATGATGGCCCCCTTAAGAATAATGCCTCATAATTTTTATATTTATGATTTTTTTGTGGATCACTTCAGTTCATTTTACGGGTCTTGATAAGGGCTTTCAAAACCTGCATTGTATTCTTGATTAGTTTCATGAATTACTTTTTGACGGTCATTTTTAAAAATCAATTTGAGGGGTCCATCATAGGAGCATACATTCCTTTGATGGACCCCGGAGTGTTCCTATGTTGGACCACTGAGAATATTTATGAGAAATAATGAGAGAACATTCTGTTTCTAATATTTTATTGAAAAACTTTTATACCAAAAAACTAAGAGATCACATTCTTTAACACAAACCCCAAAATAAAGACTAGAGCAAAATAAATTGTACATAGTTCTCAGAAAAAAATAAAATCGAAAAACCACAAAAGTAAACAATACAAACAGGAGAATAACATGAATTCTACTTTAGGCATTCATTGACACAGTTCACAAACAAACAACTTGCACCTAGGGCTAACTCCCGCACAATCATTGTGGCACCAAGAGCTACAGACTTGACACTGAATCCACTTTTCCCTAGATTTTGATTGTGAATAAAGTTCATTACAATAGAGGCATGCGGCGTCGTCCGAATTTTCTTGTTCCAGATATTTGTCAACAACCGCTTGATTTTCCTCATCACTGTCGTCACTTGCAAGATCCTTCTTATTTACGAAAACTTGTCGTTTCGCTGCTCTTGCACAAGTTTTTCTTAATTTGACTGCCTTTTGAGCAGCTGTTGCTTTGAGCTCATCAAGTTCTGGTGTAGAATTCAACGTTCCTGTTTTTCCACGTTTTCTAACCCTCCGTTGCATTAACTGAATATCAGCGACTGAAGGTGGAGGACAAATATCTTTGACCGATATGTTAAGAGCTGATTCGGATGATACATTGAGAACCGGGGATTTAGTGAGAGTTTGTGTAGTGGAAGGTCCTGGCAAAGACACAGAACTGTCCAATTGAACCATAATATTTTCTTCTTGATAAGATGGAAAGTCTTTATCAATGTTACCTTGATTGGAAGGTGATTTGACATTTTTGGGCAATGGAATAATTTTTTCAGGTTCAAGGACATCTTCTTGAGTTATTTGAGGTTTATCGGTTGTTAAAGATGGTGAAAACTGCCAATCTTCGAAAACCTCCGGGTTAAACGGATGTATTCCTGTTTTCCTGAAGGAGTTGATAGCATTTGTGGGTATGGCGCTTTTTAAATAGGCACGACTAAATAAAGCTGCTATTTGGAACTGCGTTACAGTTTTGCCAGGATTCTGTCGCAACCAGAGTTGAATTTCTTGTCCGTAATAAGATTGCAAGGGTCGAAAAAATCCCACGTCGAGGGGCTGGACATGATGGGAACAGTGGGCAGGAAAGCAAAATATTACAATTCCGTTTTGTTTTGCGTACTGCAACGCTTCGAGGCTTTTATGACTACTATGACCATCTAATAGTAACAGAACCTTATTTTCTAGAGACGCTTTCGTGTATCTGACAAAATGTTTGAGCCATTTGCAGAAAAGTTCGGAGGTCATCCAGCCTTTCTCCTGTACAAACGAAATGCATCCCGGTGGAGCACCATTCATTAGCTCGTCTTTCATTCTTTGACGTGGAAAAATTATCACAGGAGGAACGTAAGAGCCAATGGCATTCATTGAACAAACGACAGTAACATGCTGACCGCGTTCTGCACTGCTGAGTGCCCCAACTTGTTTGCGACCTTTACAGGCATATATTTTTTGCGACTTCTTCTGGACTGTGGTCAAGCCAGACTCATCCATATTGTATATGTTCTCCGGGAGTAATTGGTGTTTGTTCCAAATAGACGCTAATGACTTGAAATATGCCAGAATGTTGGGTTTGTTAAAAGCCTGAGCCCTAGCTAACGAAGTACTTTCGGGATTTCTTAAAGATATGCGGGGATTGCGTCTTAAAAAACATTTAACCCATTTCCACCCAGCCATTTTGCGTTCCTTGTTGAAATTGTGTCCAATGCCATTTCTTTCCGCTACTTCGTAGACCAACTTACGTAAATCTGTGCTGGTAAGACCAAAAAATCGTGATTCCATGTCTATGATGTGATCAACAATTTCTTGTTCAATTTCTTTGGAAAAAGTGGCTCGTTTTCCTCCAAGTCCCTGTTTGAGAGCACCTTTATTCGTGGCCAATCTTCTCCTTAACGTGGTTTTGGGTACGTTAAATGTTTGAGCGGCCAACTTATACCCCATTTCTCCTGCCTGTACATTCCTGATGGCTTGTTCCATGTCCACTTCATCCCATTGCTGTCTTTTGGTGGTCATATCTTAAAGCAATAAAGCAAAATGTATTACCCACTGTCTTACATATAAATTACATAGCAATATGTTATTCCTATGATGGCCCCCTGGTCCATCAAAGGAGAGAATACATGGGGCCATCATAGGCATAAGTGCATATAGATTGCTTAAATTTCATATCACATGTTATGTTCACTCTAACCTCAATTTCGATACAACAACTGTAACACGATACACACGCGAACATTTGATATAAAATCCAATTCTAAATTACTTGTTTTAAGATAAATATTCACTAATATTTTCAACAGACTTATTAGATCAGGACCTACCTTTTTTTATTTTCACACACTGACACCTTCCTATGGCCGACGCCCGTTTCATACTGCATGTGCAGCTCTAAAAGGAAGTTAGATGACGTTTTAAAATGGCCGGCTAAACGAAAATCGCGGGAAACTTAAAAATACGACGGAGGGGCCATCATAGGAAGTGGGCCATCATAGGCATAATTCCCCTATTTTTGTTTGGTGTGGCAAGTTTTTAGATGATTATCAAGATCCACATCACCACTTTCAACTCTTAGTTTTAACAAATCGTTAAAGTTTCCATCCTGTGATTGTTTACCTCTTAATGCAATATCGTGAGTACCACAAAAAAGAATTGTTGAAATAATCGGTTTCAATTTCTTTCTATTTTCTTCTATAAGCTCTCGCTCATGCGTGTTAATTTGTTCATAAACATTTGCTTTTTCACCAGAGATGATTTTTGTAAATTGAGTTGCACTACACAGTGATTGTTTATGCCATTCAGAACTTTGATGGGACTTGGCACTTTCATGAAGTTTTTTGTAAATCGAAAACTCCTTAACTATAAAGGCGCCTAATATCCCTCTTTTAACAATAGGCTTAAAAAGAACACAAAATTTACATAAGGCACCTTTAAGTTTTGAAGAGTACACCATCCAATCGTAATCGCTAAGCCACGAAATTTTAAAACATCGTTTTGAATTCGGTGCAACATCATTTTTAAAATTGTATTGGGTACCCGGAACATAAGGATATTTTAAAAGTTTGTATTTAACATCGTCGGTTAATGATTGACTGTTTAAGTATAAACCGAGATCAAATGAGTTAAAAGAAGGTGTTCGGTGAGAAGTTCCACTAGTTCCAGGTGATGGCTCAGACTGTAAATCTGTTTGTTTAATTTTTTTTTTACTGGTGATGATGAATTCTCATCTTTTTGTCCAGAGTCAGGGTCACCAACTTTTGGAAAAAAAGTTCTAATATCCATTACCTGAAAAAAAATGTTGATATTGATACGGTTTTTTTGAAAGCCCATATAGACAAAACATATCTTCTGAAGATATTAAAAATATCCTTTATTGGATAAAGGATATTTTTTGAACATACAAATATACGAACAAAATATTTCTAGTACCTTTTTTGAACATTTTGTGGGTACAAAATCGATATTTTTTAAATGTTTGCAGGATATTTTGCCAAATATTTTAGGGACATTTTTGAAACCTTTAGAAATGTGTTTTGAACTTCACCATAAGAACCAAAAAAATGTGGACATTTAAAACTTTTGTAAAGAATATTTTGAACTAACATGATATTCTGTAAAATATTTTAAGAAGGTTATTAAAATATCCAAATATATTTATGCCCATACCATATTTTCTGGTATATATTAAGTACATTTTTAAAATATAATTTAGGAATTATTGAATACATAAAAATCGACAAAATATTATTAAAATATTTTTTGAAGCATATTATTTCATAAAATACATATTTGTAAAACATTTTTGAATTATCTTCAAGACATTTTGCAATATTTTTAGGGTTAATAAAACGACATTTTGAAAATATTCTACCTATTATATTGAACTTCATTAAACATAGGTACACATATTATGTACTTATAAAAAAATAAAAAATTGATTCTTCAATAGGTAGGTATATGAAATGTATGTATGTATTGTACATTCAAGCTCCTTCTTCTCCCCTGGTATCAGCATCAGCATTATTTTCTACTTCTTCTTTTTTTCTAAAATAAATAAATATACATACATAAATGCCATTATACTTCATTTAGCAAAAAAGCAACAAGTTATTATATTAAATTAAAATAAGTGAAATGTGCATCAAAATAATAATTTGTGGTTTATCTTTATCAAGACTAGAAATTTGGGCCTATACATATACCAGGGTTACTATAATAAAGACCTGTCAATTATTCCAGAAAACTCAGGTGCAATTTTAATAAATTTGGCAGCATTGGCAATGCATTTTTTAAATTCAGTATATGCATATACCTTTTGGAACAGAATTTTTACAACATACCTAACTCTTGGGGTTTTGGAATAAATTTAGATTTTTCACTAAAATAAGTGGGGGCAGTCAATTGAAGAAAAATTAACTGTTGTGTTTCCTTTAAAATAAAATAAGTTAATGTACCTAAAGTAAAAGTGCGAAACTCTGGCCACCCTACCCCTGCTAAAAGAATTTGTGAATTCAGCGCATCTATAAACTACCCCAGTAGAAAATATTTTAAGAATTGCACTTTGTAATTTCTGAGACAATTCACTTTTCCATTAGTTTGTAATCCTGTCATTATACTAAAATGACTTACTTTTTTGTACGTTCCTTGGCCCTAACAAGAAATCCTTTGATGTATTTTATTATTTCGTCGTCCTGAGCTAGTTGTGTCCGTTGATTCCCGCGTACTGCTTCTGAAACCAAACAAATTATTTTAGTGTTTTTCACAAAAATATTGCAAGTGTTGTGTAACAGAAGTAAAATATAATTTTTTTTCTAGTCCTTATTGCAAGAGGCCTAGAATATTATTAGATACTTACTGAAAATTACATTGGCTAATTTTAACTCTTTGAACTTTTTTTTTCCTTTCTGTCCCTCCCAACTATACTCCATTGCTACTTCATTCGTTAATACATGGTATAGAATGCGCGTTGTCATAACTTTTACACTCGATCCTCCTAAGCGAGTAAGAAGTTTTACCTAAAAAACATAACGCATTAATCACTCTGTATATATAATTATACAGGGTGGCCAACTCTTGAGGGGGCCACCCTGTAAAGTCTCTATTTATTGCGCGATTTCAATTATTTTTTTTTTAAATTGTAGAGCTTGGTAAACTTTATTTTTGAAGAAGAAAGCTCCACATTCCTACAAATACTATGACCTCCACCTCAGATTTTATGCGTGAAATTCTGAGAATTCATATTAGCGATTTTTGTAGAAAAAATCTGTGCGCGCCACTGTTTTCGCCATCCCCAAAAACCCCTATAATCCATTTTTTCAAGCAAAAAACAAAAATTTTTTAATTTACTTTTCTCGACTTTTTCTAATAAATTCTTCATTTCTGACCAATATTTTTGAAAAAAAATGGTAAAATATTATTTATTTTTTTTGCTTGAAAATATGGTTTAAGGGGTTTTTGGGGATGGCAAAAACAGTGGACTGCACAGATTTTTTCTAAAAAAATCGCTAATATGAATTCTCAAAATTTCACGCATAAAAACTGAGGTAGAGGCCATAGTCTTTGTAAGAATGTGGACCTTTCTTCTTGAAAAATGAAGTTTATCAAGCTCTACAATTTAAAAAAAAAATTATTGAAATCGCGCAATAAATAAAGATTTCACAGGGTGACCCACTCAAAAATGGGTCACACTGTATGTATATAAAGATCACTCACCAAAGAAGTACAATTATTATCTGATTTCAGAAACTCCTCCAATTCTTCCATTTGTAGAGAATGTGATAGAGGAAATGTGATGTCAATCAATACATTTTCATCATTTTCCAGAATTTCTTGTCCATTATTATCAATTTTCTTTCCAAGCTTCTTTAAAAGCTTCGCTTGGGTATCTAGCCTGTCTTGGATTGAATACAGCTGTCTCAACACCAAGCGTTTAAATGCTAAAAGCAAATATATATATTTTAACCCTCGTTTCAACCACCGAACATTTAGAGACTATCCAAAGTGTTTTGAAAAGTTCATTTCCACATGTGCCTCATTCTCGTTTGAAAAATTGAATTTTTGGTCTTTTTGAACACACTGTATAATAATGAATAAATCACAAGTGACGTTGACAGTGTATTGAAGTAATTGATAAATTGATAAACTATTTTTATCAATAATAGCTATTTACATATATAACAAGTACATAAAGTAAAGCTTTGTATTGTACAAATATTTTTATGGCCAAGCGAGCTTGCGAGCGAGGCTATTGAGAAATAATGAGTCAATAAAGCCTATTTATGTAAGCGTTATATACATGAGTTTATGTACGATTGCGACTGCTTTTTATTAAAAATTAACAAAATTGAAAGAAAAAAATTAAAATTCGACTATACCTGGTTCACCTTGGCAGGTTGTCAGGTAGTCAAGGTAGGCAATAAAGTAGCACTTTATTGTACTAGTAAAATAAAGTATTGCGTTTAATTTAAAACAAAATAAAGTGCTACTTTATTGAAGCAAAACTGTTCTATAAAGTGCACTTTATAATAAAATAAATATCTATTAGTAGAAAAGCTCTGGTACCTCTATCCTTTATCTCTCCGTCGTTCGATGTAGAACACATTGGTTCGGCAATATTCTCTGAAATAGAGGGAATATATTAACTCTATCAACCTAATCAATTGAAAAAAGAATTACCTTTTCGAACATTTAATTGAGTAGGTTTCTTGGTAGGTTTGAATAGACTTCCTGAAGAGTTTCTATCTAAAACAGATGAAGAAAATATACTATTTTTGAAAAATTTTAGACAAAATTACGAACTTCTGGCACTTACAGTTACTTTTTACTTTCAAAAATAAAACAGTTTTAAATATATAACCACAAACCCTGTGCAGGCGTAATACTAACTATTTTTTCCATCCATATCCATCAGAGGTGCTGAATGAGTGGAACTACCTGACGGACTGCCATTAATTTCTAGAAGAAAAATTATTAATATTTCAGTATCATATAGTAATATTTCAAAGAGCTTCGGTTACTTTTAAGAAGCAAACTAAATATTTACGTTTTTAAAATCGTGATTATAGCAGTGTTTGTAATTTTTGTGTAGATGCTAGAGGATTTTTGTGGCATTCAAGAGGTCTCAGGTTTAAATCCTAGTTGAGTCCAATGTTTCATTGATTTTTAATTATCATGTCTGCTATGCCAAAAAAATCCTTCTTTTATCTACCTTTACGTTTTTGTCCGATATTCGTTCTACTCCCCCACTTAGATCCTGGCCGAATGTTTTCTGAAAATAATAAACTCCAATTGGTACTTGTATCCTAATTTGATGCAGTCAAATTTGCAAAAAGTAGGTGAAACGCTTATATTTTAAAGCACTGACAAGAGCAGAAAAATAAAAGCAAAATGCAAAATTTTGAGTCTTATTTAAACACAGACATACCATTTACATCAAGGGAAACTTGTGATGCACCGCTTTTTTTGGTCAAAACTGATTGATCTAAAACCAATGATAGACATATACTCATAAATAATAGCATAAACCAAGTTAATCTTACTTTTTTCGATGTTAGGGAACCTGGGGGGTTTTTTGATTAATGATGTATCTTCGTTTTCTGTGACACTGGAGGCTGAAGATCTCAGGTTATACCCTGATGATTCACGATTGTGTTTTGCTAAGAAATAAAAAAAAGGAAAATTATTACTGAAAACAACAAATATTTATTAAAGTTACCTTTGGTTTTTGTTTCTGTGCCACTAGAAATTTCTGACGAGCTTTCTGATACATATTTCGGTGGTTTTACTCTCTTTCTCTTTTTTAAAACTGCCTCGTCATCATTAGTTGAAGTCAAAATGTCAGTATTCTGAGCCTTAGAAGCTTTTTTATTGGCTTTTTCGAAAGTATCTAAAAAAAGTAAACATTAACTATTAAGTAAAAGTACAAATTTTGTTTTTGTTGTTTATTACCATATTTTCCCAAAATTCTCATTCGATATGCAACCCAATCCGATTGTGGATCTACAAGATTTTTAATAGCCTCTGCAGTTTGATCCTTTGTCAAGTTTCTGGGCCAGTAACATTTATTATTTTTTTCTATGATCCATGAATATGGAACGACTTCCACAGCATTTTCTTCATCAAAATTCACCACAGCCCACATGTTGCTGGTGGGCTACTTGACTATTTCCTTCGAGTTCTTCAGAAAATGTACAATATACAAAATATTTTTATCAAGATTTTTATTCAATTTTTTGCTGAGTATGGATTAATGGATATGAAATGTATCGATTGTTCTTATAGGGAATTAGAAATACTTTTGCAAAAATGGAGGACGTTAAATACATCTTTAGTTCACCACCAATTACATTTCGATCAAGGCAATAAATACCAAATTTTATTAAATCACAGGGTATTTTTGAAAAAGATCTTTTTTCTAGAAATTCAACACCCAAAAAAACAACAGTATTACGACTAGAACAAAAATTTTTAACCTCCACTATTTCTCCAGTTTTTAGCATTACATATTTATCAGCTTCATTATTTATGTCAATAACAAAATTTGGAAAAACGACTTTTCGAAATTGGGGATTTGTCGTATGTGCAATCAGAGGACCAGAATTATGCTCTTTTTCAAATTGTAGACTTGCATTTATATGGCTAGCTTCTTCTGAGATATTTAATTTTTTATCATTCCATTCTTCAAAAGTTCTTAATATAACTTGCTGCAAAAACTTATCTGTTTTGCGTAATTTTTTTGTTATTTGTTTCATGTGATTTTCAAATTTGAAAGCACTAAATTTATCTAGTGGTCCAAATAATTTTACATCATCCGTAAGATGTAACAAATTGTGCACATTGTAAGATGCAAAACCATTACCATAAATAGACACACTATTTTCTATAAAACATTCTAAAAGTTGATGGGCATAATTTACCAAATCATTATTTTTACAGTAGATTTCAGAGGACAAAATGTAAGCTGCTACATGTAACAGCAAAAAATTTTGATACATATTTTGTGGTAAAATATTTTTGAAAACTACTGGACCCAAATAAAGTATAAAATGTCTAAATTCTGTAGCTTTATAGCGTCTACATTCTAAAACAGATCTAGGCTTCCTAGGAAGTTCCTTGGGTACATATTTTCGTATTTTTTCAAGATGTTGGCAGAGAAGATCTGTTTTTCTCCATGGTAACTTGTATGGAGGACTTCCAAAAATAAATCCGTATTTTTTGTGGGCCAGCAGTCGCTTCATCACGCCCAAACACAAACTGTGCATGTAATCTACTGGAATATTTTCCACAATGTTAAAATTAGGAATTTGCTCAATAATTGTGTAATTTAGGTGATAGTCCTCATCTTCTTTGGACCTAAAACTTTCATCGGTTCTCTTAGTAAAGTTGATGTCAGGGAAACACACTTTTCTGTCAATGTAATGTCCTTCTTGCGTGCACTTATTACATGAAGAATATCCGGAATGCATTTTAACGTTCAAAATATAACTTTTGGCTGGAGCATCGCAAATTATATTTTTAATTTTAAAAGGTAGGTGCATTCTGTTGAAGGAAATACCATTTTCAATCAAATGTTTAGCTTCATTAACAAATTGTAAGAGATATTCATTTGAATTGTTGGGCTTTTTGGATCCATGATATAAACCAATAATCATAACTTGATTTTCTAGTTCTTTATATGAGTCTATTGTGAACAAAATAGGCCAGAAACTACTATTAGAGCTTTTACTTAAAGGCAATCCGTCTATATGGCAGGATATATCTATCGATGTGGAAGCGTCTATTTTGAAATTAATAGTTGATAATAATTTTATTATGTTATTTTGAATTCCAAAATGATAATAATGGCCTGGAGAAATTTCTTGAATATTCACTTGTCGAGGAGTTCTTAGAAGCGTTCTAGCATGGAGTGGTAAACAGCTCGATAAAGAAGGCTCTTCTTTTAATATATGTAAGAGTTTGTCAAGTGCTTTATGACTAATATTTTCTTCTAATGCCCAATGTGTTAGTTTTGACTTGAAGTCTGGGCTTTGACTTATATTTTGTACTGGCTCTATGATTTTGGTAACATTATTTGCAGCTGCTGTAGGAACTTGATAATCAAAGGCTTCGGAATCATAATTGACAAAACTAATGCTTGATGAAGCATTTGATTCTGGGCTTGTTGGTGGATTGGGGTCTGGGCTTGCTGGGGCATTTAAATCTAGACTTGCTTGTGTATCTAAGTCTGGGTCTGGTCTTAATACATTATCGGTTGAATTCAGACAGTCAGACGCTCTCACACTTGGCGCTTGGTTGGTTACTGAATTAGACAAGATTACTGATACTGAACTCAAATTTCTTAAAGTCTCTTCCACTTTTCTAGTCAACCTTTTCCTTTTTAAGGACAACCTTTTTTCAGTATCGTTTTTTTTTTGCATGGTAATTGCCAAAGTATCTAAAAATTTTCACCAATTAACTGTAATGTGTATTTTTTTCCCAAGATAGATTTTGACCTAGGCAACTTTGGAACATAAACAATGCCGTTATTGGGTTGGTTGCAAATGTAAAAGGATTCCTCAACTACAGGGAGTGCAGGGACATAGCATTTTGCGACCAATCAGGGCCAAGCGGTATTGTTTATGTTATCAATTTTGTCAATGTCAAAATCTATTTTGGAAAAAGAAAAAATACAGTTTAGATATCTTCTACTTTTAATTTATATTGAAAATAATCAGTTTTGACCTCGTCACAACAATGCATTTTAAGGTTATTGAAAGTTGTAGGTTGGAGTACTCATTACTTTATTTTTATGTCTAAAAATAGGCATAAAAAACTAACTTACCCCAACTATTCTTAAAAAAGACACGTTTCCTTAGACCACAGTCAAATATACAAGACTCTGATAATCTGAAATAAGGCCAAAATTCAAAGATCTTAAAATTATTAAACAAAAGATGTCGTTTAGCAATAATGATAATGTTCGTTTTTGCTCTATAATGAATAATGCCTGCTTATACCACAAAATTAAGCCAAGAATATAATATTACTAACAACTGAATTTAAAAGGGTTAGGTTTTTACAAGGCAGGCAATGGGGCCTGCCGCCTTCCTCGGCGTGAAATAAAAATATGGGTATTCGAAATTTATATACCTATACAAAAAAATATTGGGTAATTATAGAGTAACTTACCTTAGGTGATGTTCTAAACTAAGATCTCGATCTCGGACAATACAACACAACACAATCGGAATCGAGACACAACGCACAAAATTTTTTCACGAGCCCAAAGAAACAAATGAAACAATGAAACAAAATGGAGTCTCCCATTCCATTTGCCTATTTCGTCGTCGCGATCCATCAATTCGACCGTTCCTCGCGTCGGTCTGGCGGGTGGCGGATGGTACAGCGCAGGCGCTTGCTGCGTTGTCAGCCAAGCCAGCGCCGCTCACGGACACGGACCAAAGCTTTAATTTTGAATTTTGGCATATTACAATAGTTGAGTTCGTTTATTCGCTCGAAGAGTAGAGCGTGTGGAATGTGACAGCCAGCTGTTTGCGCCAGCCTACCTATTTTCACGTGTGAAATCACGTGACATCTGTCAAATTCCACACGCTCTACACTTCGAGCGAATAAACGAACGCGACTAATAATTAATTATCTATTCTTAAAAATAGGTATTAAGCGGCAGACAAAATTATTACATAAAAATAAAGAAAAAATAAACCCCTAATGATGGATGGCATGGCGGTTAAAAAAATCTAAATATTGTTAAAACCTAGAGTAAAAACATTTTAAAAATATTTTTGAAAACATGATAGAAAATGTTTTTTATACTTTATTTTTACAATATTCAAAAAAGATCTACTAAAAAATATTTTCTGTAGATGCTATTTTAATGTTCAGAAAATATACATTGGAAAATATTTTATTACTTGTGTTTTTCGAACAACAACGTTTTTCTGAGTAGGTTTTAAAAATATTTTATAAACATTTTCAAAGTAATATCTGGTTTCAAATCTTTTTTGGATCTCCTCAAAATCTATTTTCACTATGTTCAAAAAATATTTAGGGCTGGACCAAAAAAAAATATTCAAAAAATATAATTGTCTATATGGGTTGTCATGTACAAATCAAATGCAATGTCAAGCACTAGGCATTGTTGCCAACTTAATACTATAATTTAGAGCGTGTAGTGCAAGTGGAGTAGAACACGCTACAGCGAGAACGTCAAAATGCACAATTTATTTATGTTTACATTACAAAGTAACGAAAACCACTAAACCACCAGTTGCTGGGGCAGACATGTTTCAGCAAGTATTTGACCGTTTTGTGTTGCAAAAAATTTGCTACATTGTCATATTTCAAAAATATTAATTTTAAGAAAAAAATATACATGTCTGTGTAAAGTTCTCCGCAAGTTGCAATGTCACACCATCCTACGGTACCTGCACAATGTTCAATATTGATTGGCAATGGTCGTCCAGTACCTATTTTTCAAGTCAAGATTGTCGTGTAGTCTCAAAAAGCTGAACACGAATTTTTTTATAATTCACTGACCTTTAGATTAGCAAATTAAATTAAACTCTCCGAATTCCAATAAAAAACTGATAAAAAAACTGATAAAAAACTTAATCCCGAAACAAAACATTGAATAAACCTTGAATAAATGCCGGCAACCGACGAAAGAGCGAAAATTTCCTGTTTCCGGGCGGAACATTTGGAGCCCAATAAACGCACCGCCTAGCGCGATGTTTGGGTGACGTCACACTTTCGTCGCCATGGCAACCCACGTAAATCGTGGCACTAGCCGGGACGCATATTCCTTTTTTGCCAACGCAACTGATATTCGGCTAGATTTGTGCCCTGCGTCGTGAAGCGTTAGCAGAATATGAGCATCGCAACCAGACGTTGGCACTTCATGTGACTGTATGTTACAAGCATTTTATGATGATGATAATTAGGTTCCATAAATGTTTTTTATTGAAAAGGAAGGGAAGATTAAAGATAAGAATTTTATTTATATGAAAAATTCAGCTGAAACAATGGTATGATATTGTATTAGATAAAACTATCGATGTCTTTGAAACTACCCGATGGACCCTTTATACTAACTATTTTATAGATTGTGAGCGAGAAAAAAAATTGAAATAATTAAACCCAAAAGGTAGAAATTGAGAAATGTCGAAAATGCAAAATGTCGAAAATATAAAAAGTTCAAAATACAAAAGATCTTTTTTCTCTTTTGGTTCTACATATTTATTTTTCTGTAAAATAAAAGAATAAAATGAATGTTCAGCTGAACTTTCGGCTGAATTGTGTTTCTGTCGCATAACGTCCGAGAAGCCAACTTCAGTGACTCATATTTATTCAAAATTTAATAATACATAAAGTCAGTTGCATGGTTCTTGAACTGCGCAGTCTGAAGAGGCAGAGGGGAAAATTCGTCATTCCGGCGTTGTCTTATCAATAATAATAATACATGAAAATTGCAATAAAATCTCCTTCGTCTTCGAAATATGGAGA